TACAGGATGCCCCAAAAATATATCCCAGCCAATCAGAGAAAGCCCCCCTCCCTTCGGGATGACATATGTGGCAAGTTTTGACCTGTGATGATGGTACAGAAGAAGGTAACCCTGTCCTGTGCCAGTCTGCCAGTATGGAAATCGAATACTCTGGCCGGACTGGTTTGTGACTAACCGCTCTACATAAAACCTGTAATTACACCTCGTGGGGCGTTCCATCTCCCCGTCACCTGTCATCACACCCGCGGGACCAGACGCATCCAGACAATCTATGAGAATGTAAAGCAGCCTTGCAACATGACCTCATCATCATGCAGAGGATTTACAACACATCCAGTCAAATCAACCCAATGCCCATTCATTGCCCAGCCCAACGCCCATTTATTCCCCATGCCAACCCAATGCCTATTAATTCCCCATCCCAACCCAATTGCCCATTCATTCCCCATCCCAACCCAATTGCCCATTCATTCCCCTTCCCAACCCAATTGCCCATTCATTCCCCATCCCAACCCAATTGCCCATTCATTCCCCTTCCCAACCCAATTGCCCATTCATTCCCCATCCCAACCCAATTGCCCATTCATTCCCCATGTCAACCCAATGCCTATTAATTCCCCATCTCAACCCAATACCCATTCATTCCCCATCCCAATGCCCATTCATTCCCCATGCCAACCCAATGCCTATTCATTCCCCATCCCAACCCAATTGCCCATTCATACCCCATCACAACCCAATTGCCCATTCATTCCCCATCACAACCCAATTTCCCATTCATTCCCCATTACAACCCAATGCCTATGCATTCCCCATCCCAACCAAATGCCCATTCATTCCCCATCCCAACCAAATGCCCATTCATTCCCCATCCCAACCCAATGCCCATGCATTCCCCAACCCAATGCCCATGCATTCCCCAACCCAACCCAATGCCCATGCATTCCCCATGCCAACCCAATGCCCATGCATTCCCCATGCCAATGCCCATGCATTCCCCATCCCAACCCAATGCCCATGCATTCCCCATGCCAACCCAATTCCCATGCATTCCCCATCCCAATGCCCATGCATTCCCCATCCCAATGCCCATCCATTCCCCATCCCAACCCAATGCCCATGCATTCCCCATCCCAACCCAATGCCCATGCATTCCCCATCCCAATGCCCATGCATTCCCCATCCCAATGCCCATGCATTCCCCATCCCAACCCAATGCCCATGCATTCCCCATCCCAACGCCCATTGATTCCCCATCCCAACCCAATGATTGCTTTCATTGAATCATTCAATCTGCTTTCCTTGGTAAAGGAAAGCAGATTGAATGTTATTATAACAATTTCCCGACCACAAAGGTATCACCGCGTTCTGTTGTTTCTGAAAACATGGCAGGCGGTCTCTCTGAGTTTTCACCTTTAAAGGAGCACATACGCACAAACAGACAGACACACAGAGACAGAGACACACACACGGGGTGACAACGCTCCGAACGTGTCTCATAATTGTACTCCCGTGTTGTCACCCGGGCTTCCAATGGAGACTACAAGTGGCCATTTTGACACATGTTATTCATACACGGTCCAATGTTGTCAGCCGCCCTGAGAAATGCCATGCGGCCATTGCACCGGCGGGAATAGAGGCAGCCAAGCATGTGTGGTCGGGATTATTGATCCCCTGAATGTTGTTGTATTGATCTCCATTGATGGCCCAGAGACGGGTTCCTCTTGTATTGCACACCTCCGGTAGTGGAGCCGGAGATACACGGTGCGTGCTCACGTGGAACTGGTTGCTCGAGTGCAACGACCAGAAATGTCAGTGATCCTTCATTGTTCCCATTGTCCGCCCTGCGTTCATTATTCATGGTGCGTCCTCGCCCTCAGGTGCCTGATGAATGAACAGGAGCGACTGGACCATAACCACAAAACCACATAATGGCTGTGTAAGGCCCTCCTCCGTATTGCCGGCCGACCTCATATCATCATTTCCAGTCTTTATTAATCTGCAGCTTTCATTGTAATAAGCCTGATGATCCTGCCGTGGAGGTCCTTGCTCAGGCACTTCCTGTTTTAGGGTGACAACGATCCATCCCCAATTGTGCTCCTGCGTTGTCACCCTGGCTTCTGATGGCCGTTTCTACACACATCGTCCACTGTTGGCATTTCTCAGGGCGGTCTTCCTGATGGCGACATGAAGTGACAGGAACTCAGCAGCACTGAGATGGAACAAAGGAAGAAACAAAGGCTGTCGACAGAACAGATCAAACTCGGCAGCTCTGGCAGGTGAGGCATCGCATCCAGCTATGCCAGGGGTGGCCAAACTCCGCCCTCCAGCTGTGGTGGAACTACAGGTCCTACGAGGCATTGCAAGACTCTCACAGCCACAAATCCCAGGGACAGAGGCATGGTGGGAGTTGTAGTCACGCCGCCCTACTTTAAATAGGACCTCTCAGGGGGCCGACACTCTCCATCTCCCAGAAGCAGAGAGGGGCCCCCGGAACGAGCATGGCTTCCGGGAGCCGGACCGTGTAGAAACCTTGATGGTTTCCTTTAAATGCAGCTCAGCAGCTACTGTGATTCCCGCAAGAGGCTGCAGTTTCCAGCAAGGGTCACCTGTGCTCTCGGGTGCTGCAAACAGGCGAAACCCCTCCCCTTCCAGCCGCCACCACCCCCAGTGACTGAAACATGTATGGAGAAAAGTACCGGGCAACATAACAGAGACAGATAACCCCCCAAGTCAAGAACTTTGTGGGGTGCAGGGGGTGATGGGAAATTCATTTAGTGGATGATCCCAGTTGCTCTAGGGGGCGTACTGCCCAACTGCAATCCAGCAGGATCGCAAGACTGGCTGGACAGAACCGTGACCTTTCAGTTATGGGGGGGACGGGGACGCGTTGTAACATTTTCATTCCGCAGCTTTCTTCTACACAGACGCCGTGCGAGGTGGAATGCAGAACCTGCCCCGCGACTCCGCACAGAATCAGACTAAACCATCACAGGCTGCATCTCTGCCGGGCTCAGGGGAACTAGAGGTCCCAGCATGCCCTGCAGCACGACTGTCTTCAACTGGATTCCGATTCCTTACACTGTAACAGGAAATGGGATGTGTGGTTGTCACCGGGACAGACAGTAATAAAACACTGTCAGAAGTTGTAACCCTCCCCCACTCTATGTGTCCCTGTTGGAGAAACTTCACTTCCTGTCATAACAGGAAGTGAGAAAAAAATCTCCCAATGGGGATGCAGATGGCAATAAAAATGTGACAGAGGTTCCGTCCCATATGTGTAATGTACACCGTGTTTCGAAGTTCCCCCTGACAACGCGATTCTTTGTTTCATCATTGAACCGGCACTATAAATTCTGGCACCGGATTGGCCGGGGCGGGTTGATGAATGAGTCTCTTGGTAACAATCAGCTTGGTGCTCACTATACGGGAGGCCGGCGGCCTGGCACTGCGCGCTTAGTACATAACTTGTCTTCCCATGAGAGCAATCACTCAGCACGTTCCAGGACCGCCGCCATTTCCCTGGAGCGCAGAGCAGAGAAAATAATTATCTCCTTACAGGAATTGGACTTCGCACGCAGGGAAGGCCGAGGTCACGCACACGCCAGGAAATCAGGACATCTAGGCGCAGGATGGCGCTCTACATAATGCCAGAAGGGTGTCAATGGTCCGCCCAGTCCATACCAATGGGCAAACGAGGGCAGAATGCCGAGAGAGGAAACTGGGCACAGAGTGGTCTGGGCAGAGAAGGGACTAGGTACAAAGGGGACTGGGCAGAGAAGGGACTAGGTACAGAGAAGGGACTAGGCACAGAAGGGACTAGGTACAGAGGGGTCTGGGCAGAGAAGGGACTAGGTACAGAGAAGGGACTAGGCGCAGAGGGGACCGGGCCGAGAAGGGACTAGGCGCAGAGGGGACCGGGCAGAGAAGGGACTAGGCGCAGAGGGGACCGGGCAGAGAAGGGA